TTTTTTTTGTAAAGCGTACAGTGAAAAAAGTTCAACATACGAGATTGCTATTGTCAATTTTGAACAGTCTGGAAAAGTTAAATAAATGGAATATGTATAATGTAACTAACCTTGGTCCTCGTTTGAATATCTTCTGTTTTCTGTTCTCCTCAACAGAACTTTGCCTGTTACTCGTCCACACCCAAATGTGAGTTGTATTTATACGACTTTTAGAGGAAATGAAAGAAGGAAAGCTATTGGACATTAGAACGAGATGGTTTCACGTTTTTTTTTTCGCATGACAATTTACACATATTTACGAGTATGTTGCAACCAAAATAAAATAATAGTTCTGCCCTTAACCTGTTAGGGACACAACACTCAACAGGGGTTGTTTGTCTTTGTTTTGGCCTGAGGGAAACATTTCGGGTAATATTTTTCCAGGTTATTATCCAAATTCCAACGTCATTATTATCTAAATTTAAGAACAGAAATAGAAATACGAACAATGTATTAATTGACTTAGATAACATAATCTTTGTGATGGCGTGAGGTGAAGATAATTATACATGATTAACGTGTTTGCTCCAGTGAGTTTTTCTTTTTTTATTTGGGTGTAGGTATTCTTTTACTGAGAGAAATTATTGTGTACCTTCTATAAACACTGTTATTTCGGACGTGCTTTGGGTTTTACGGACTGGAAAATTGCTTGTTTTTGTTCATATTTAAAGTCGCTGGGTCTTTGTGAATTTTTTTTAGAAAAATAAATGCTTCCTTTTCCCCATCGATCATAATATGTAAACTGACATGTTTACATGCTTCTTCTTTTCATAGCTTTGGATTTTTTCAAATATAATTATTGCTTTCCTTTCAATAAGTGCGTAAGGGAAAATTCTGAGTCTTAAGGTAACACAGCTGCCTTGAAAAGGAATGTCATGAAAGGATTTCGTTTTTGCATGTGCGCGACGATGCGTGTTTACGCATGTTCATCTGTATGTGTTGGCATTTGTGAGCACGGGTGTATGCGTTTTTTTTTTTAATTTAGAAATAATACATATGTGAATGCCATCTTCAATATAAGGTTCCTGTGCGCATTTTAAATTGGACATTTCTTGGTCTAATTGTTTTTACTCAAATTCGTTTTACTCAAATAACACGGCTTCATTTGCCCACGTGGGCACACACTCACTTTCACATACAAACCTTAACTAGTCCTTGTCAATGGCAAGCAAGGAGAATCCAGGGACAGTCTACCTAAAAACACGAAAAGGTTCAGTTAAGTAAAAAAAAAAACAAGTATTTATAGGGTCTTACTTTTTATAATCATAATGATAATGCATTTCGTAAAACCACGCTACACATGCGTCTCAGCGCTGTTTACATATGTATATAAAACCAAGGAGTTATAACAGTCTGTTATAACTCCTTGATAAAACTGAAACTAAACTGACATATTAAAAACTAATGTAGAAGTAATTAAAACTAAAAGATACAAGTTAACAAAGGTATGCTTTAAATAAAAAAGGTTTTTAAAATCTTTGAGCAAATAGAGTAACATTTGTGCCTCCAATATTTTCTACTCCGACTTGTTGCTACTTGTGACCAGGAGAGGTCGAGATCTATGCGGAGAAGAGAGACAGAGGGGTTTCCCGGTAACATTCTAGTTATATCTATGATCTATATATATCTAGCATGCATCCTACTTCCTTATTTTACCCCTCTACTATTAGAAAAGGTGGAAGGGGTGGGCGCCATTTTAATATGGAAAAATACCCCCTCTATCCTACCCCCCTCACCCTCATCAGTCAGCTTAAGGTATCCAGTCTTCCTTTCCCCTCTACGGGAAAGGAATGGGGGGGGGGGGGGGTAGCTCCATTTTGATATGGAAAGTGGTCCCCACTCACTCCGTACCAGTGTTAGTCAATGTAAGGATTTATGACAGTTATGATGCCGGTGTGCATGACTTCATGTACAATTCAATCTACTTCAATCTCTGTCCCCTTAGCATTGCATATGTAAGTATCTTCCGACAGATGCTGGTATACAGATGTCATGCTTCTCCTATCAAGAATTTTGATTCCATCCCTGAAAAAGCAAGATACAAATTAACTTGTGTTATTCATTAACTGTGGCTAATTTTTCGATATACATATGGTCTTTGCAATAACTAGGTTATAAAAAGATAATATAAAGCCAGTGTTTGCCCCAACTCATGTGAGCGTGTGTATGTGCGTGCGCGCGTGCGTATGTACTGTATGTGCGTGTGTGGAAGGAGTGGGCGCAGAAAACGTTAAGCGATTTGAATATTAAGAGGTGGGGGACATGCAACGCAATTAGATTTTTTCCCCAGCAAAAGACTTTTTAAAAGCGGTTTATTCAGTTATGCCAGCCATTTTGTCAGGCGAGAATCATAACGGGAACTGAAGTTTATAACGCCTCCCCCCCCCCAAAAAAAAGAAAAATGGACATAGAGTAATCTTGATACATGTATGTTGATACACTGTGCCATTAATACAGAAAAGCGAACAGAGACAGGACATTAATATTTATTTACACCTGGCGAATTACAAATCAAGTTGTACAGTATAAACCATATGGCTTCAAACGTCGGAGTGGACACATTAATCGGCACTATTCTCTTAACGCTGGTGTTTATAGAACGAGAAAATTAATGTTATTTTTAGGACATGAATATAATGTACAGATTCATTCGCTATAAACTTGCATAAATAAGGTAGGTGGAGACCTGTCTGCATTTGCTTCCTTAACATTGCTCTGATTAAGAACTTGGACGCTCAAACACAATGCAGACTCAATATATTTCGCTGCGTTTGTCAACGATGCATGGAACGCTGACTGTTGTCTTACTGACTGCTTGCATCATAATGATGTCTTTACTGATGTCTTCTAATTTTACACTGCGTGAACCAGTGTGTGAGACAGTCCCAAAGAGACAGGCGTACAAGGTACTGAACACCCGCTTCCAAGGGAAACACCACAGGCAACCCAGCGCGCGCAGGTTTGACGCCCAAATTACAAGCGCAGACATGTTTGAGGACTTGGGTTCTAGCCAAATTAACGCTACCGATCCCAGATTATTGAAGCTCCTTCGCCAAAAATGGCTACTTGCTCCCTCTAGCCGGCCATTCCATTTGGCAAATCCAGAGAAGGTACACGCGTCCCAGATAGAACAATCACAGGTAGTTGATAGGCTACTGGAGCAAAGAACGAACGGGTTTTTTGTTGAGGCAGGTGCGGCCAATGGCGAGATTTTTTCTAACTCGCTGTTCTTTGAGAGGTTTAGGAACTGGACGGGACTTCTCGTTGAGGCAGATCCGTGGTCCTTCCATGACATGGCCGGGAAACACAGGTAGCTGGGTTGTTCCCGTTTTTGGATTCGAAATCAAGATTTTTAAATTAAGTTCATAAAAGAAGAATAATTTTTAATGCTACCAAGTTTATGCCAGAGATTTAAGAATGTCAAAACCTTGGCAATTGAGTTCGACATTTTCTGCTAACGTTAATTTGCCAGTCTGATTGCATGACTGCGTGTAAAAAGCCTACAAGTACTGTTGTTTGTGGTTATTGCCGTACTGAGAGAGGAAGAGAGAGAGACTCGGTGTAAAAAATAAAGAAAATGAGAATATGTGTATAGTTTTAACAATTGAGTCAATTCATCACAAATGTTTAATGGTAAAAGATCCACTTTAAAAAAGACGACCTTTGAAATCACTGGATTCAGCTGCAGCCTGCACATCATTTGGTAAATATAGACATTTATTTTTTCTTTTTTATTCAGGAAATCGTATATAATCAACTCCTGCCTGTCCCTGGGGCCTCACCCAGAGCGCACAGAATTCACGTTCGCCAGAGAGTTAGGTGGCATAAGTCAGACAGCGTACGTTATTCCAACAAATGAACAAAGCACGTTGCGTGGCAAAGGATTGCCGCGGTGTTTCCCAATACACTCCATCCTGGCCGCGCTGGGCGTCACCCACGTGGATTACTTCTCCTTGGACGTCGAGGGGGCCGAGGTGGAGATTCTGAAGACGTTCCCCTGGGAGGACATCACCGTGGACGTGTGGTCTATTGAGTACGCTGTTCACGGAGGGGGAGGGGACACCCCCAAGCGTCTGCAAGCAATTAGGGAGATTTTCCAAATGACTGGGGCGTACGTGGAGGTGGATTTTCCCAAAGGACAGGATGTTTTATTTGCTAGAAAAGAGATACTTGGCAAATGAGGACCCTGTGTCGCTGATGTGACCATATGCAAAGTTGCACTCAGAAATAACCTTTATCAGTTTATTTAGTGATCAATCTGGCTAAGTACCGTCGACTTAAGTATTTTAAGGGAATGGACTCTCTTAAAAAAAAAACAGGAAGGAAACAGGGCAGTTCACGTAACAGTTATTTCTGGATGCGTCAGTGTCGTGTAAATCAAAATATAATCAGGGAAAACTCTAGCTTGCTCTAGTTCTACTATACAAAAAAAGAAAAAAAAAAGAAAAAAAAAAAACGATTGGAGTCAAAGAAAAAAATATATCTTTCCTTGATTTACTTTATTATGCAAAACCTGTGTATGCAAAACCGCTGATTTTTAACAAAAAGGGAGAAGCCAGCACCCACTGAACCAGACGGACAGTGACGTCATCACAGCTGTCCCATTCACTGCAGCTATATATTGAACGAAATCACATTGTTCTAAGTGGTGATAGCTTCAATTTCAAATATGAGGCAGTTCCATTGTCTTCCTGCGTGTCAGCAACTTAGCACTCCCATATGCCAGTATGCATAAATGTAAATCAGGGGCGGATTGGGGCCGTCTTCTAGGTCTTCCAGAAGACGGTCAGATTTTTTCAAGTTTATGTTGACGGGTGTCTAATTTTTTTCTGGAAGACGGTCAGAATGGAGGATGGATCAACAAAGACACTGGGAATTCGGAAGACTGTCAGAAAATAGCTCTGGATCCGCCCCTGTAAATAATACCGGATGGAAAAAGCAATGAATGGGCTGATGCAGTGAACTATAAATATTGGTTAATGTTTCGTGTTTATTGCGTGTGTTTGGGAATTTCGCTGCCCGACGATGAAATGAAGATTGGGGCCCGATTCATGGTATCGCAAAGTCACGTTTCAGTGCAATAACAACAACAATAATAATTAACCTACTTGTACGCCCTATTTAAAGGCTCGTTTCCAATTAAACTATCGTTCTACGTCTATGTAGATCGAATCAACTACACGGAGACTTTTGCTGAATGAATCAGATTAACAGATTATTTAAACGCCTCCTCCTGACGTTGAGTAGAATACAAAAAAAAAAAAAAAAAAAAAGCTGGTGATTATTTACAAATATGTTGGACACAAGAGGATGCGTGGTAATCTCTGAATTTGGTTGTATTCAGCGAGAGTCCCCGTTCAATTCAGCCCAATTCAGCTCTCCAACATTTAAAGACGTTCAGGACAGTCTCACCCTGAGAATATTTCAATTCTACTCACACTGTATGCTGTGACAACTGTCGAGTCAAGCTGTTATTATTTACATTATTGTTTCTCTCAGCACATAAAATATTCACAGCAAAATTAACTGCGCATGCTTTAAAGTTTTTTTATTCTAAAAATATCTATTCATTGTTGATATTAGACTGTAAGATTTTTATCCTTAAATTATCTCTTCAGTTTTTTAATTCGTTTTGATAAACGGTAGATCAAGACGAGTAGGCCTACACGTGGACCATTTTTTTTCTCTAAAACATTTGTCATGATGGCTGTCCATTGTGAAAACATGGTGAACCATTTTGGTCATTTCCCGATAAATCGCCTGTACTCATGATATATATATATATATATATATATATATATATATATACGCGTTGTTACATAAGTCTAGTAGTCTTCTTTTTGTCTTATACGATGACTGCATAGCAACAAGAAAGACAACTGCAAAATTTCCATGCGGTGATCGGTCTTATTGGCGACCAGTGGTCAAAAGGCCCGTTGATATGCATTAGAAATGCATTTTGTCAGATATTAAGACTCCCATTACTTGAATCGTGCACTGTCAGAAATACCCACTGGTACCCGATGATACGTTCGAACAGGCAGCCTCCTAATGTTTATATATTTATATTGTTTTGATTTATACGACCACTGCACTGAGCTATATATGTTCAACGAATATAAAGTCAAAACGATGAATGACACGCATTAATTAAATATCAATAAGGAAGTGGGTAGCAGCTGCAAACTCTGCTGACACACGCCATGATACCAAATGTATAATGGCATAATGCATATATGTTTATTAAATGATTTATAAATGTGAAATCTGTATAATCTGCTGTTGAGTGCTGATACCTGCATTTTAGTTTCTACAATATATTTACCACTACATTGTCATACAACTGTGATCCAGTCGTCAATAATATTGCACGTTGTACTCAGTAAATATAGCAAACTATTAGTTTCATAATATTACGAAGTCCACTTTTTAGCTATCCCAGTTTAGCAGTCTAGCTATAGATCGTTCAGACTTCGCCAATAATTACGACGCATAACCCGGGAACATCAACGTACGATAATAATAATAATAATAATAATAATAATAATAATAATAATAATAATAATAAAATCAAAAGAAAAAATTGAGAAATTTAATGAAAAGAAATAAAAAGATTTAAAAAAATGATATTTTCATAAAACAGTGTCATACAACACAATATATCAATCTCGGCCCCCACGCACTACACGAAGCTTGGTCACACTGACTGGTAACCTATTCTTCCTGCTTTCACATAAATATGCAATTCATTTTCCCATTTGTAATCAAAATAACGCCTGACGGTACATATAAACACAATTGTGGGGAGTCCCCTTTTCAATAGAGCTGGACCTATAAGAACTAAATCTAACATACAGTGCCAATGCTTTCGTGGAAAAGATATCGGCTTTCGTATAAAGATGATAAAAGGAGGTGTCGTTTCAATTAAGGCAGAACATAGTGTTTTGTACCTATAAAAAAATAGATACGTGATCAACGCGTGCATCAGTCGTTTGTCAAATGTGAGATTCTGCGGATGTGTTTAGTGTGTTAGATGAGAAAATTTATTTTGACTCTTTCATATTGGAGGTTGGAAATAAAAGCACACATGGCCGCAGCGAGTTTATCTCGTCTGTGAAAACCCCTTGGTTATTGTGAATTTCTTATCGTAGATCAATGCTTCACACTACGGTTGATTTTTAACATTTTTTGGATTAAGCGCTGCTTTAAGGTAAGAAGGAGTCATCTCTCTCTCTCTCTCTCTCTCTCTCTCTCTCTCTCTCTCTCTCAAGACTTCATATCCTCGCTCTTCTGTTTCATATATTACCCTTTCTACTCTGCGGTTAGTATTCTACACACATTTATAACACCAGCTGCTCTTGTTTATTGCAGCTTCGTCTAAGAAAGCAGACATGGACCCAAACCTTATTCAGAGGGTGGTGGATTACCACGGTAATGAGCTACTTGACCTGTTGGAATCTGATCAGACGCTCAGCAGCTTTCCTGTTCCCTCTGCCATAGAATACAGGCCACCAGAGGGCGATCCCAAGTATGTACAGGACTGTATTATAGTCAAACTTTTTAAAAATGGGTTGGGGTGTCTGAAGTTTGATTCATGTGGACCTGTTCCCATCCAAAAGGGTGAATTTATTTTGAATCACATTAATCCTCTTGCCTATGGGCTTACACTCACTGAATTACCAGAGGTGTTTAGAATGAACGTGGTACTTGCAGTAATGGGATCTTTTCATGTACCCTAAGAGACCTTGGGAGTTATAGCTACACACATTATGATAAAATGAACTTTGATTTTAGCTTTTAATCAATGTCATTTGGCAGACCTCAATGGAAAAAATAATTGTATAATTATACTTGCAGCTGGATGGTAATATAGCTCAGTTGATAAATACTGTTTCAGTGATGAAGAATTCAGGCGCAAGCTGAACCATTTTTTGTCCCTTAAATCAGACCTTCTGTACACGCCATCTCTTCCCCCAGTGGTGGAGATAGTTAAGAATGAAAAGGCAGTGGAAGGTAAGTAGTTTTAATGAAGTCAAAGTTATTCTGATAGAGGTTTATCTATACTAAGCATAGCTGTGCAGTATTGTAGAGCATTCATGGTAAATAGTTTTAAACTAAAATATTAAATGTGACCAATGTAGCCCTAGCCTGTGAGCTGCAATGAAAGCTTGCAGTGCACAATGGTATGTTATTAAATATTTGTGTAGAAGTTAGTTTAAAATTATTCCACATGAATTTGAAGGTATGTTTTCAATATATGTGTCCAGTATGTGGGACCACTGTATAATTATACACATCCCAGCAAAAAGCAAATACACATCAAACATGTTACAGTTATCGTCAGCATCATCATCAAAGCTTTGTTTTTTCAGGTCTTCAGTTCTAAATGAACAGGTGTTGGACCTTTTTCCCCACATATTGCCCCCCCCCCCTTCCATTCTTGCCTGTTACTTGGATCTGTATCTTCAGCTTGTAAATCTGTCTCCTGTCTGTGCTTACCACCTCCTTCCTATTTCTCTCCACATCAAATTCTGTTACTCTTTTCACCAAGTTGTCATCAATAAGCGAAAAAGCACTGAATGGTGTGGCTGTGCTGTTCATAACTTATATGAATCATTGTTTTCAGATTATTATGCAGTGATGCCTCCTCTAGAAGCCTTCATGGGAGTCTCACCCAGCCAGTGCAGGAAACATTTCTATCAGGTGAGCTCTCTCAGAAATAATTGTTTTCATTTTGGATCTGTAATAATATTAACAGAGGCCAATTATTTGCAGTAAGGTCCTTAAGACTTTATTGTGAAAGAAATACTTACTAGTAATTTGATTTTAGAGATTTTTATCTTTGTCATCTGGTTTTCTGGTGATGTCATTTGTCTGTTTAGTTCTGACGTAAAGAATCTGATGTATAGTGTAATCTGATGATGTCAGCTAGTTTATTTCTTGTCTGATTTAGTTCTGATGTGAACATGCCCAGCTGTGGTTTTACTTTCAGTGCGCCCAGAAGAATGACATCTTTGTTGGCGTGGTGACAGCAGTACAGGAGAGTGGTCTGATTATTACTCTGCTGGCTTTAGACTATGGAAAGGCTCGGGACATAGACCAACTGAGGATAACTGTAAGATCTTCTGTCTACCTGTGTGTGTACAAGTGTGTGTGTGTGTGTGTGTGTGTGTGTGTGTGTGTGTGTGTGTGTGTGTGTGTGTGTGCATAATTACTCTCTCTCTGTATATATTTTATATATATATATATATAGAGAGAGAGAGGAAGAGAGAGAGTCTGCATTCATGAGGTCAGTGACTGCTGGCTTTAGTGTGCATGCATGCAGACTGTTTTTATGTGTGTTCATATTTTAGATGAATGGAGTTTTTTGCTGTAAAATAACTCTGCTTACTTAAAAGATAAATTTAATGTTAAACGTGTTTAAGAGTACCAGAAAAAGGATGCAAAAGCCCACAAAGAACAACAATGACAAATAAAAAATGAAAGAATTAGGAAAGGCCTTGTGTCTTTATGTATGTTATATTTGTTTAAGTATACATACATATGTACAGAGAGAGAGAGAGAGAGAGAGCAACGAATGCCCGAAACTTGTCATTTATATTTATGCCATCCACCATATGATCCCATTCTATCAGATTCTTACCTCATTCTGGCTGACATAGATGATCACCCCAGGCAATTTATTGTTTGAGATTTTGATATGTGCAGGACATGCTATATTTCCTATCTGGCATGGATATGCTCTGTAACTAGTGTTAGGTTAGCAAGGGTTTCTTCCTCAGGGTTTCTGTCCGCTGCGAGAAGTTCCCAGACTTTATGCACACGAGAGTCCTCTTGATGCCTTCACCATCAAGGACAAGGTCAGAGGTAAGTTTTGGTGTTATTGTTGTTGTTGTGTCTGTGCGTGTATCTTCAACATCCAATAAGATGAAACAATAGTAGATAATCAATATTTCTTTAAATACTGCCAAATTTTAATTCTGTGTGAAAGTTCAGTAGATGTAGCATCAATCAGGAGAACATGAAACATGCCCTCATACTATCTGATGCACATGTCTTATGTGTCCAATTCAATGAATTTCACAGTCTCTTTGGGAGGATTGGTCTGCACTGTTGAAAGGAATTTGCTAACCTATTACTAATATTCCAGGCATAATTCTACAAGTTGACCCTGACAAAGAGAAAATAGTGGTGTCCCTGCAGGTGTCCGCACTGCCACCTGGTGTGGAAAATCTGAAGATTGTGAGTTGTGCTGCCACCTTGTGTAGAATTTTTTTAAAAAAAATATTAACTGTAGCCAAGTAGTGTAGAAAATTGAAATTTGAATTGATGTGGAGTAAACTTGATATCTCATTCCTAAAATGGTACAAAGAATGAAAAATTAGGCCAAAAGTAACACAAATGAAATTAATGTGATGGATTATTTTCAGGGTTTGATTGCAGATGAGGAAATGCCAGTCCACTATCAGTAAGTCATTGTTACAGATAGACTATGCTGTTCAGACAGGTCAAATTCCTGTGTAAACTATATATATCCCATGGTCAAACATCATCCACACAGACCTTGTTGCACTTTCAAGTTGGTAAATAATTGAATAAATATCCTTCTCCTGTATGTATTACTGATGAGTTTTTATAAAATTACAGACGCCTTACAAAGTCCTCTGGCAAGCCATATGAGGAGATGCTGACGTCAGAGTTGGGTTTCAGTAACCCAAACTGTGTATCCTTCTTGTGCAGTGTGTTGGGGTTGAGTGACGAGACACCACCATCTTTAATGAGAGGCCTTCATAGGTGAAGCATTTCTCTACTCCATATTCTGCTTTATTTAATAGATATTTAAAATCATTTATAAACTGTTGTTATAAGACTAGTATAATAATGAAATTCAAATTGCATGCTGTAGCTGAAAGGTTGATATTAACTTTTGTATATTATAAAGGCTTAAAATACCAGAGGCAGAAATGGCAGAAGGATTAAGAAAGATCCAAACAACAAAGTGGGCTTTAAAAAGGTAAGATGAGTTAAAAACTTTTTAACAGACATTTTTATGGTATCTTTTCAAATTTTGCACCTCCTAAAATATGTTATTTTACTTTTTATATTACCACAGTCTAAACAAGGTACATTTTAATATGAAATCGAAATAGATAGCTCATGAAATGGTCCCCCAACCAAGAGGCCTCCATGTGAAAGATTCAACGCAGTTTTACCTCAGTACCTGTTAAGCGTTTTTTTTCTCCCTTCATTAAGTAGTAGAAAATTTTCATTTACTGCACATCAGAAGATATTGAGTGTAAAACTGATCTTTCCATTTGTTCATTGTCAAGATGTATCTCAAATACAAAGAAACAAAAATATATTCTCATAATTATGTTCCAGCGTTGCTGCTGGTATCAGCCATTTCAAAGATGGCCGATACGTAGAAGCTGTGCAGCACTTCAACAAAGCACTGGAAATAGATCCAGAAAATGTGGAAGCTTTTGTAGCCAGGGGAGCTCTGTAAGTAAAAAAGACATTGATAGGGGCTGTGACCTTATCAGATGATTGGGGGTGGGAGTGGGGGGGGGGGGGGGGGAGGCTTATGGGTACAGATTATAGGGCATATGGCATGATACTTGAAAACTTCAAATTTTTATTTTAAGTTAGATTGACTATAACATAAAAGTGTGTATATTGACTGATGTGTATAATGCAGGTATCTTTTTAAATAGCACAAAGAAAAAATAAAAAGTTATTATTATTATTATTATTATTTCTTTCATTGAATTTGTTTTCAGATTTGCTAACAATGAGAACTACTCCAAGGCCATTGCGGATTTTGAAAAGGCCTTGGCGCTTAATCCCAGACACCAGAATGCCAGGAAGTACCTCTGTGAGACACTGGTGGTGCATGGGCGAATGTAAGTGCAGGACACAGGGGTAAAAAGGTGTTCAGCCAATCAGCACTGGTGTTGCACTTTGATGTTGCCTGTGATGGGTTTTGTACAGTTTTAAGAGTTTCAAAGTTTTGGATACTGGAGACAATTGTTTACTGCAGCAAATAGCTAATGACCTATGAGTAATTGATTGAGGACTGAAATGAATGAAATGATATGAGCAATTAATTTTTTAAATTAATTATATTAAATGTATCTTAACATGTAAATACTTTTAAACTGGCTTATATCTCCCCTTTTGAAAGGAATTGTTTTCTGATCCCTGTCTTACCTATTTTTGCCTCTAGCACTGAAGATCAAGGAGACAAGGACCTTGCTATGCAGTTTTTCGAACGCGCCTTGGAGTTAAAACCCGATTTGATCGAAGCTCGCGATTGCATTCGTCATTTAAAACGTGAAGAAGAATACCTGAGACAGGTGAGATGATGTCTTTTAACAGTGTTTTTATTGTGATGAAAAGTTTTTACATCTTGACCAGAAGTGAGTATATATGTCCATTATTATAGGCCTGCAGTGATACTTTACTTTTAAAAGATAGATATGAAAAAATGTGATCTTAGTTGAAAGTGAGGACTTACTGCTTGATGTGAAAAGAGCCTTATAACATCATTTTAATGTATGAAGAATTTCCTTGTTATTATATTGTGTTTAATTTAAATTAAAATGTTCATATTTTGTGATGTTTCAAATTAAAAACCAGTAAATCTGCCTATTTTAGTTTTGAAAGGTAAGTCACAAGTGAATATGTCTTCTGGTAAGTTTTAAACAAAAAGAAGAAAAGAAACTAATTCATGCCAACAAAGAATAGCTGTAATGCAATCATTTGTAAAATAACACATGCTAACATATTTGGTTTCACTTTCTGTTTCATCCACTGATGGCTATTTGCTGCTGTGTTTAACCTGATCCTGCTGGTGTCCTCTGGAAACACTATATTCTCATAATTCTGGACAATGGACACGTTTGTCTGTATGATATTGGATTGCAAATGGTTGGTATCGTACATTTTTGGAAATTTCTGAAATTATAACGACTCATATTGATTGTGTTTGACAAATTTCAATATATTGTAACAAAATAAATTTAATTTCATGAATTATTCACATTTATTTGTGGACGAAATCTTTTTTGTTGGATTTCTCCAATTTTCGTCCATTTTACCTGGTGGCCTTGACATTGTTCTGTATGACCTTGATGAAACCATGTTGACCTATTCTCCTTTTGCTTATTAGCAAGATATAGAACAAAGACATCAGTCTTATCCTGATGATGAAGTTATAGATTTAAGGAGCAGTAGTCCCGTGAGGGACCCTTTGGCAAGGAATCCTGAGAAACCAGTTTTTAAGGAGACTGCTGACACATTGAGAAAGCTGATAGAGGAAGATAGGGAACAGGGCAGGTAAGGGGATTCTTCAGTAGCTAGTCTGATATAAAAGAAATGGACAATAATTTTCGCAGGGAGGGAGGGTGTTCACTGCTAAAGAAATTTAATGCTCAAATTATTTCTTGAATTCCAGGCTGAAGAAAAAGAAAAAGAAAAGGAGCAGGTCGGGAGAAAAGTACCATTCTCCTGAGCAGAGGAGAAAAGATCACCAGATGAGACATCCAGAGAGAAGACAGTCAGGAGAAACATACTCAGAAACCAATGTGGAAAGGCAAGGCTATGAGGAAAGAAGGCAAATGGATACCAAAGGTGCTTTTGATGAATATGGAAAGAAAAGATCCAGAGATGAAAACGATGAAGCTGATTATAGAGACAGAAAAAGAAGGAAAAGTTACAGAGAAGAAAGAGACAGTCATTTACATGATCCTAATATGGACAATCTATTCACAGACAGCAGAGGTCAAGGTCATGATAGAGGTCAAGGTCATGACAATGTGACCTTGACCACAAGGTCGATAACTGTTCACTCAGCATCTCAGAGAAAAAGACATGATGGAGGTGAAAGTGATTATGACCCAAAGTACAGAAAAGTAGATTCCCGAGATAAGAAATTTCACTACGACAAGTACGGTGACATAGACAGACATGGAGGTGAAGGGCAGCATTACTTTCCAGATACCAAAGCATATGTTGATGAAGATGCCCAGTACTATAGACATGAGGAGAGGAGAGACGTTTCAGGTGGCACCTCAGGACATGGGTCAGAAAGAAGCCTTACACATTTATTGGTGGGGGAAGAAAAATGGAAGCAAAAGCAGGAGCAAGGTTACTGGAAAGAGAGGGGAAAGATGAGACAAAGAAGTAGGTCAAGGTCAGCATCCCCTCATGCCCATCACCATGAGAGAGAATACAATGAGGTAAGAGGTGTAAATGACCAAGCTGAAACAAGAAGCGTGACTGTTACCAGCTACCTTAAAAAGTCAAGGTCACATCGTGGTGGGTCAACATCACCAACAGGTGACATTTTGAGCCAACATGGTCAGTCAGATGCTTACGGATCATATCCTGAAGAAGATTTTGGAAAGGGTCATGATAAGAGAAAAAGTCACAGGTCAAGGTCACTTAAAGAAGAAGATGATTTCCACACCTATCAGAATACGAAGAAAATGCACAACAAAGATACTGAAACTAAGTACAAACCAAATGATCGTCCTAGAAAACCCAGCTTTGAAAAAAACAAAAGTGGTTTCAAGTCAAAAAGCGGATACTCTGACCAAGATGTGTACAGGAAGACCCCATTGAAAGGCACTTGGGATAGAGAACATACCTCTCTGAAAGAATATGAGAGTAAATATAGAAAAAAAGACCATGGAGAGGATAGAAGTCCGTCTCCTGATTCAAGATCTAGATCCAGCTCAAAGTCTGCTCAGAAACATAGGGCATCAACTTCAAGCTCAAAGTCAAGGTCAGAAACAAGGCAAAAGCTTGGCAAAAGATATAGGTCGTCTTCCTCAAGTTCAAGGTCATCAAGTAGGTCAAGTGCTTCAGGTACCTCTAGTTCGGGGTCAGGACCAGACACAAAATCTGTCAGGAAAATTACAACCAAAGACGATGGAAACCTGAAAACAAAATCCCCTACCGAGAGAAACCAACTCAAGGAACTTCACGACCAAGATAAAAGGGAGCCTCAAATTAGAAAGGACAACAGAGGGCAGCACATTCAGGGTTCTAAACCAAATAAGCCATCGTCCTTCATGCCACGTTCACTACTGGTGAAAAACAAAACCCCAAAGATGTCGGCCGAAAAACCAAAGGTTAAGCCTGGCAAGAACGGTGACGCAGAGACAGGGGACAAAGATGTTAGGCCTGTTGACCCGCGGAGGTCGAGGTGGGACTCGCCAAGTTCGGAGGAAGACGAGAAGACGACGAAAAACAAAGGTGGACCCCAGGAGCCTAAAGAAAGTCTAGAAGACCTGGAGAAGTTTCTTCACTATCTTAAGACGCAAAAGAAAGAGAAAGACTCGGCTAAGAAGTAGACTTTTGTGGTGTGGGAAGACTGTCATTCTTTGCTAGATGATTCAGTCTACCGATGTTCTTTGGGAATATTTGGGGTTGTACTTTTGTCCACCTCACTTGCGTTTTCATGACATGTAAAAAAACACTTTTATCACTCTCGCAGATGAACCTGCTGTAGAGAAGAGGGCTGAAATATGCGAACTATTCCATTAATTTTGTTTGCGCGCGCGCGCGCGCACACACACACACACACACACGTTGTTTTACGAGTAAATACAGCACAGAAAACGGGAACCACCTCTTCCTATTACGGCGGCCTGCTGAACTCTGTATAGACAAATATACACTACACGTGGAAACCGCGTTTTTCTTTTTAGTTAGGACTCATTAGAAAGTTGACGTTTCAGGGCGACACAATTTGAAACCTTTACTAATCGTTGCTCTTTGAATTAATATGCACTATTTGACTATTTTTGTGACAATTGTTTCTGTGTTATTGCGTCTCGAGACGAAAACGTGGGTATTGGCTGATATAGATATACCGCAAGCCTCGAGCGCATTTGATTTAATAGTGGGATTGTCTCTGCTGGAACAAGTTGTAGTGTGTATGAAGAAAATTATTTTGACTTTCCAGATATAAAAAGACATTTTCTAGTTGTCGATTAAACTTTATGTAAATGTATGCCCAAAAGAAAAAGAAAAACGGGATTGAATGGGAAGCGAACCCACTCCGTCGTGATTGGCAGCCAAGGACGTTACTACACGGCCAGCAAATCCTGCTATCTGATGTGGTGTTATTGACAGTACATGATACCTGTCACGCATGCCGAAGCTTTACGAAAATTGCCGAAGGTAGCAAATGGCTTCCAAATAATAATATACTGTTTAACAATTATAATCTAATTCAAACTACGGCCTCTCTCTTCCTCCTGTCCTAAGGTATTGCTAAAACCTCCCCTGCGAAAATTTGTTTTATTTAACACTCACTTACGGTCCTCAATCTGTCTTAGAAAATAATGTTTTTTTTTATTAAATGAAAAATGTGCTTAATCTGTTCTACGACATTCTGAAGGACTTCCCAAAACACTTCTCGAACTGCTACATTTATTACAGAACAACATTAGAAATGTGAAAAAAAAAAATGTTCTCGAAAATCGTAAGTGAACGTTAAATGAGACAGAATTTTACAGGGGTTGTCAGTTGTCAAAAGATCGTTATAGATTGGGAGAAAAAGGAAACTTCGGCTGATCTGCCATCACTATATAGATGGTTCCAAGAGACGAAGAAAAATTAATAACAATCGTGACACTGATTCACTGTATATGTAATGTATCCATGGTAACGGACATTTTACAGATTGTAAGTGTACACTCACTTGATTTGGAGCAAGCGAAATTTTCCGTGATTGATGGAAATGTAAGTGCACCTATAGAAATTTGAAAAAAACAAACAAACAAAAAATAAAACAAGTAATAGCTTTTTGACAACCAGCGTTGGCAGGTCGAGTAAAAGTTGCATCAGCACAGAGATGATTATTTTATGATGTTTGATGTAATGTGACATAAGAAACTCGGTGTTTCATTAAATTATTCATCAGTTTGGGAAAAGTCTGCACTCTTCTGATTATTTTAGCGACAATACAGACCATTTCTCCGGCAATTCTCTACAGTAACCGTACTCATAGCAAAACTCCCATCAGGTGCACCAACGGAACATTTAAGTAGTTTGAATCTTGCATCTTGCTGCTGGGATAACGACAACGTATTGAGTATGGTCGCCGTACGACTGCTTTCTGTTGCAGTTTCTGTTATACTTTTGGGTAAGTTTGGCATTAGTAGAACGCATAAGAGGAATTAATCATTTTATTTATTTGTACATGCACTGAAAATGTGATTTTGACGTTAGTTTGATATTTAAAGTAACACGGTACCATAACACCGTTCATCCGTGTGTTCAGCTGTCTTTTCAAATATTTTAGCATGAAAATATAATTTGATATTTTACTGATAATTTTGTTGTTATTATTATTATTATTATTATTATTATTATCCAGTAGGTACACCACTGTGCAGAGGATACACGAAGAATCTGGCCAGAGGTAAACCCGCATACCAAAGTTCCACCCACAAAAATGGGGCCAATGCCAGTGCTGCTGTGGACGGTAACTATGACAACGACATGTCCCATGGGAGTTGTGCCCAAACCAAGGCAATTCAGGGGCAATGGTGGCTGGTGGACTTAGAAACCACGGCGAGGGTGGCAGGTGTCATAATAACAAACCGTGGCGATATGCGTTGTAAGTGATTTTATTATCTGTTGTGGATTTACTGGTTCGTTGAATTCTTTATGTTGTACACTATAATTTGTGGTACGTGTAACACGTTACTGTTTGTGTTATAGCCACTTGTGTGATATTTTACTGTAATACCCAACGGACGCGTTGTGAGAAATGTTAGAAACAGTAGGTCTACCCTAACACAGACTAGCTGTGCGGTGACGTCATTTTTGTGCAAAAACTCTGGTTATGGAACACAGTATCGAACATTGCACAGAAATAGCCAGAGGAATGTTAGAGGATACGAAAACGAACTGAAAAACTAGTGTGATTGAAACTACCATACGGAATTTGGATAAAATTACGTGTGACCACGTGCTCAGATAAAGTGACGTTTGATACACACTAGTCGGTTACACCGCCTGCAGTTTCCATGTCTGATTTTTATGTTTAATTTGTGGCTACATGGCATTGAATATTGTTATAGTGTTTAGTCAATTTGGGGAATTTGCTCTTTTTTCCAGTTTACCGTTTGAATAATTTCGAAGTGAGGGTTGGAACCTCTTACGAGGATAGTTCATCATTCATCCAGTACAAACTCTGCGCCAGTTACCCGGGGGCGGCACCCGCGGGGAACACGTCTCTGTCCTGTGGGTCACCACTGAGGGGACGATATGTCTTGATCATTAAAGTTGGCAATGATACGTATAACTTGCAGCTTTGTGAAGTGGAGGTTCGCGGTGAGTGTACGGCTGTTTCTCAAAATCACTTTCACAGACAGACACCGGGGTAAGAGCAGGGTGCTCGGGTTTCTCGCAAGTCTCCTTGTTCCTACATTGTTCAGGGTATGTTCAACACAAATAGTTCCCACTTGAAATATAGTAGTATGCATATATAATGTTTATGATTAAAAAAGTGACGACGTCGCTCAATCAAAGCCGGCGTATTAAGTTGTATTAGTTTCTATTATTTGTAGGCATTACAAGTTCAACCAGGTTTCGGCGGGTAGCAGCAGGTGCGCGCGCACCCCTCGTCCCCATATCCAAGCTGAATGTGGAGAGCCTCATCGAATGCAGCATCTCCTGTATGAAACACTGGCAGTGTGTGGCCATAAATGTTCTCTGTGCTGGAAATGACCAATGTGTCTGTGAACTTCTGCCCAGTACTGCCCAGTCCGGCGACTTGCAGGCAGACACTGGATATGAATATTATGAGGACAACCGCTTTGGCAAAGTGTAGGAAGATGTCTTCTAACGGATGTGGATAAATCGCTTTCGGATGTTATCAGACCTTTTCATTAAATAATCTTATACAATGCCATGGTTTATATTTGTGTATTCATGACCCCACATACAGCTTTCACTGACCCTTTTGAAACGAATTAAAGACGCGTCTTCTTGGAAAATTTTATAACTGCGATTTTACGGCTTTGGCAGTTATTTAATGTCTTTTTAGTGAAATTTTGTAAGCAATGAAATGACATTTAGTTTTCTAATAAGGTAATTTTCTTACACTATTTTCCTTCTCTAATTGCGATTTCTGATGAACATAATCGGATATTAGACTCTAAATAAATCATTGTCATCATCATTATCCAGAGACTAACGTGTTCCACTGTTGGACAAAGGCTTCAGCATGCTTCTTTCAGTGTCCAGGCATTCTGTCTTTCTAATTTTTATCACTACTCGTCTGTTGTAACTTATCCCTCCATCTCTTACCAGGCTTCCCTTGTTCTCTATGCCCAAATCTTAGTGTCCATCTTGTCTGCAATTATCTTGTATTTATATTATATGACGTATGTTATCATGATTCAAATTGTAATTTACAGAGAGAACACATCATCTGAGGCTTTTTTAGTTTTGTGCAAAAAGTCTAGCTGATAAGATAGTATTTATAATGCTTATTTGCAATTAACCTTAGTTTGTCTTGTGTAGAAATAAATGGTTTTCTAATAATTTTTTTTCAAGTGTTGTCACCAAAATATATTCAATTGATTTTCCCGAAGATATCAGTGATGTATACCTTTGTGAATATAAATTGTCTCTTAAGCGGTACGTTATATTTTACTTTTAAGTAAAATATCTCAAATTTGATCAAACCGAATAGTCGTTTGGTCTAAAATATATATGTTATCTTTTTTTTTCTATAAATTCAATATTATTTCTGAATTTTTATCCCAGAAACGGTACCATGAAATAAAACAAAATTTGTAAAATCTCCAATTTCTCTCAACACACTGGCCGATATTAGTGTAGTTAGGCCTCGAGAGACCATAGGCCTATATATAGTTCCATTAACCAATGAAGCAATACTGTTTCTGTCAGGTACACCCCAGTACGCATGATTGATGAATGCTGCTCTGACGGCGCAATGATTCCAATATCCCTTAGCAAAATGAAAAATAGTGAAGCTATATTGCTGCAACCTTAAAGTTTGCGTTTCGATCGGTGGCGTAGAAGCACGGCGGCGAGTATCGCTCAGTGCGGTTGGTTGCCGTCTGATCATCAGATTTGTAAATTAATTGATTGCGTGCGGGCGGAATTTATGATGCTGTCGACTTATCGAGTCCTGACTTGTAAATTAATTTGGACATTCTGATGAATATTTTGCTATTTGTACACAATCCATTTATTACGGAATTTATAGGAGAAGAAGATATATAATAAATTCTATTTCAAAATCTGTCGTTAAAATATTAACAGTGATTGAAAATTCTACGATATGTATAACATTTAAGATCTGTAAGGAAAGCATGGGAAAAATAATTTATCTTTTGTCTAAAAACTAATTCTGGACTGTGGCTTGTCCTGGAGGGTATTAGACTACTACTAGTAGAATCGAAGAAGAGCACATTTCCTTTTTAATCGAGTTCTTTGTGGCTTTGTGTTGCTGAAGCTGTTATTCACGGTGGTTATAAGCGGAAACGGCCGGGCAGCATCATACAAGACTGTAGATTACGACAGAAGGTACTTCGACTTTAAAGACTGACTTTTCGCTTTAGCTTACAATAACCGAACGTTAGAACAACAGAAAAATTGATACATGTACATGTATTGTGGTGGATTGTTAATAGATGTGTACGTAAAGTCACGCCAGGGGTGAAATATATGATAAAAAATAAGCAAATGTCTGAAAAACTGGATAAATTGCCGATAAAGGATTGGCTATTCGTGAATGCAGAACAAAAGAGAACAAAGGCTGGTTTGGAAACGACGTTCAGCAACAGCAGCAACGGTTATTGTTCTTACTACTGAGACGGACGCTGCCAATTATGTGACAACTAGGACCACCACATATAACTGCATAAACCTATAAGGCTTGAAAGCGGAAAGGCGTGACAATCCTTTGGTTATTGTTGTGAAAAGGAATGGAATGTCTGGCACTAGGGAAAAAACATTCAAATGCCAGTATTGTGTGAAGAGTTTTTATTTCAAAAGTAAATATAAGCAACATGAAAAGACTCACACTGGGGAAAAACCGTTCAAATATCAGTATTGTGAAAAAAGTTGTACTTCTAAACAAAACTGTAAACAACACGAAAAGACTCACACTGGAGAAAAACCATTCAAATGCCAGTATTGTGAAAATAGCTTTAGTGTCAAAAATCTATGTAAACAGCATGAAATGATTCACACTGGAGAAAAACCATTCAAATGCCAGTATTGTGAAAAGAGTTTTCGTGTTCAAAGTTGTCATAAAAAAGCATGAAAGGATCCACACTGGAGAAAAACCATTCAAATGCCAGTATTGTGAAAAGAGTTTTAGTGTCCAAATTAGTCATAAAAAGCATGAAAGGACCCACACTGGAGAAAAACCATTCAAATGCCAGTATTGTGAAAAGAGTTTTATTACTAAACAGAATTATTTACAGCATGAAATGATTCACACTGGAGAAAAACCATTCAAATGCCAGTATTGCGAAAAGAGATTTAGAACTCAAAGTAATCGTAAACAACATGAAAGGACCCACACTGGAGAAAAACCATTCAAATGCCAGTATTGTGAAAAGAGTTTTATTTCTAAACAGTATTATTTACGGCATGAAAAGATTCACACTGGAGAAAAACTATACAAATGTCAGTTTTGTGAGAAGAGTTTTAGCAGCAGAAGTAAATGTAGGGTACACGAAATGACCCACACTGGAGAAAAACCATTCAAATGCCATTATTGTGAGAAGGCTTTTTGCATCAAAAAGGATTGTATACGACATGAAAGGATCCACACTGGAGAAAAACCATTCAAATGCCAGTATTGTGAAAAGAGTTTTAGTGTTCTAAATAGCTGTAAAAAGCATGAAATGATTCACACTGGAGAAAAACCATTCAAATGTCAGTTTTGTGAGAAGAGTTTTAGCAGCAGAAGTAAATGTAGGGTACACGAAATGACCCACACTGGAGAAAAACCATTCAAGTGCCAGTATTGTGAAAAGAGTTTTACTACTAAACAGAATTATTTACAGCATGAAATGATTCACACTGGAGAAAGACCATTCAAATGTCAGTATTGTGAAAAGGGATTTATTGTTAAACAGTATTATTTACAGCATAAAAGGATTCACACTGGAGAAAAACCATTCAAATGTCAGTTTTGTGAGAAGCGTTTTATTTTTAAACAGAATTATTTACAGCATGAAAGGATTCACACTGGAGAAAAACCATTCAAATGTCAGTTTTGTGAGACAAGTTTTAGCAGCAGAAGTAAATGTAGGGTAATTGAAATGATCCACACTGGAGAAAAACCATTCAAATGCCAGCATTGTGATAGGGGTTTTCGTCACAAAAAGAATTGCATACGACATGAAAGGCACCACACTGAAGAAAACCCATTTAAATGTGAAAAGAGTGAAAAGAGTGTTATGGACAAATGTGAACATGAGCAGCATGAAGAGATGCACATAAGAGTTCCACTTCAGCCTTCAAAAAAGGATTGTCAAAAAGAGGATGTACCACATAGCACAGTGGCTTCGCTGCAGTATATAAAAGGGGAATTAGAAGACAAGGACATGTGGCACGAGACAAAGGAACTGAGGGAATCTGATATAGAAGCTGTAGTGAAGAAGGAATTGAATGAAAAAATTGCTCCAGAAGTGAGACCTGAGATCTATCCTGTCGCCATGTTTAAAAATATTTTTGCAGATACAGATACATAATATCTGATAATACATAACACAACGCAGGCTAAGATGGTAAAAAGCTATCATTACAAGACCAAGGCCCTGGAACTCAAAAGCATCGCGCGTTGCGAATAGCGATTTCACTTACAGGCTACAGTGTATAATATGGGGCGAATATGGGCGAGTTATGGAATCGCGACGTTTGCGCTTGGTCGCAATGTGCGATGCTTTCGAGTTATGAGGCCCTGGGCTCCGTATCTCGAAAGGTTCGCTATGTTGCGCACGCGTGTTAGTGTCTCGATTCCACAACCGATTCTATTTCGAGATACGGGGCCATGAAATCTTGCGTACGTGCAAGTGAGTCTCGATTTCATGGCGTGCGCAAGTGTCTCGATTCCATGGCCCCGTATCTCGAAATAGAATCGGTTATGGAATCGAGACACTAACGCTCGTGCGCAACATAGCGAACCTTTCGAGATGCGGAGCCCTGGGCTCAGTAACGCGAAAGCATCACGAACTGCGAATAGCGATATCACCATGTATTTCGAGGTTATTGTATGGGGCGAGTAAATCCCGAGTTTTGGAATAAAGACCCTTGCGCTCGGTCGCAATTCGCGATGCTTTCGGGTTACGGAGCCCCGTTCTAACAGTGAAATACGCAGAGTAACGATGTCTATTCAAAGATTCAAAGCGTCTAGAAGCAAATGTGCTTTGGCACAGTGTCAGTTATATGCAAGTACGCATCAGAGATTTACATTTAAAAAAGTACAAGTTTATATTTATGTCCGTCACGGGGAAATGGAATGTATAGTACTACCTGTAGGTGTTGTGCACTAGGGTAAAGTATAATAAATATTTTAATATTAAATTTAAATTCTTAAAAGAACCTGTTTTAAAAAGCTGTAAATGTTATCCTGTGTTTTGTAGATTAGTTCCAGTGTAGTTCTCGTCCTTTTTGTAGCGCATTCAGCACAGCCGACTAACAGATCCCTGGCTCAAATATGGCCACCCTCAAAAAAGCCTGCCGCTAAATTTCCGATTAGACATTGAATAGATTCTTCACGGGGATCACGCATAAAGTATTCAAGTAGGTCGGACATATTTGATCCACGGATCTGTTAGTCCGGTGTTCTGAATATTCTCTTGGAGACTCAGGAAATCGAGAAAGGAAGTTTGAATCCATGTTTCCAGGGAATGCATTCTTGTATATTGTAAAGGGACAACCAAGAGGTTCATATTTTACAATAAACACATTGCAAGTAAAACTTTTCGTTTTATATCCCACTACTCGTTACTTACGTTTGTGATTTATTTGGGATGATTACATTGCTTCAAAGAGTGTTTCTTTTGACCGTTCCACAACTCATTTGGCTATTATTATCAAGACTTTTGGCTTCTTTGCGTTTCTTTTGAGCGGTCTGTGCTTATTTTAAGTGGTTCGCAATTTATGCAGCCTATAGGGAAGTCTTTCTGTTCAAAAGCCACATCATCCGCATTACGCTCAGCTGTCCAGAGTTTCTTTCGGCACGTTATTCTGGAGTCCATTTATATAATCCTTTGAGAATAGAAATGTTGAACTATCGATAATCAGAGCGTAATTTCGTCATACTGAAAATGGTCTGGGGCCGAGAAAAAGAACCCGTTTATGTAAACAGCAAGAAATCGGGGTAAAATCATTTTACATTACAGTGCTCGCTACAAGTATGTTATCGTTAGCACCACTGTGCTCGTATAATCACCAGTTTTTTAATGATAGTTTTATTAAGCTTATAAAATGAGCCTTGAAATGTTTTTTTTTTCATTCATCCTATGCTAACCCATCTCAGCAAGTGTTTTATTATGACCCAGTCGTGCTAGAGTTTTGTAGTAATGTAAATAGTTAGCTCGGCCAACCGCAACTTTGATGCAAGGGAACATCAAGACAGAAGACAAATGTAGCGAGTCTCATAATTCGTTATGCATGGCATGGAAAAGAAAAAAATCCACGTCAAGAATATTTACAATATTCTGTATAAAAAATCACTTAGATATTTGAACTTGCGTGACACCATTAATTTTTGTACCCGCTAGTCGTCAATAGCATAAGTCCAATTGCATTGAAAAGTAATTTTTTGAAAAAAAAATTATAACATATTTTGAATGGAACCACAAAGTGTTGCATGCCAGTGTGTCTCATCTCATTAATTTTTTTACACCTGGCGGACTTGAACGAGGTTGTACCCAAATGTACATTACCACACCTTTTGACCTAGTAAAGACCTTAAGTAGCGCCATGCCGCTCCGCAAACCAGGCGATATCGAACAATTCGAACTAAAACCGATGCCTTCTGAGAATACGGCAGAAAAGGACTCCAAGCAAATGGGTCTTTGGCATCGGTTCCGCCGTTCCAGTGCCCTTATTATCGGCGTGGTTTTTGTGGCTCTTGGACTTGAAGTGTCCCTTTCAACAGCCCTAGGTAGGTCAAAAGTACACGAAGGGAACTCCAACTGCCCATAGAACTGNACCTGTTTTTTGAAAACCTTGTCCAACGTAATATCATATAAATTCTGTATTTCTCTCATTTTTTAGAAACTTGGGACTCCGTTTCTGTTTCTGTCCTCAAAAATCAACAGACGAAGGCACAGATACTAACAAACGAGATTTAAACGAGAGTAGCAATTAAGCGTAACAGAGATAGGCATCCATTGTTCTCTGGGTTCTATTCATTCCGACCAATGAGAGACCGTAATACGGGCTCCGCCCCCACGCGTGTAATCTCCTTCTGTTATAACTCCTTGGTTTGGTGTTCTGAATGCTCTCTTGGAGATCGAGAAAGGAAGTTAGAGTCCATGTTTCCAGGGAATGCATTCTTGTATATAATAATTGTAAAGGGACAACCACTGTTCGTATGAGATCCATATTCATAGAAATGTGGTATATTCTACTGTGGCTTATTTAAAATACGATGGTTTTCGTTTTATATCCCACTACTCGTTACTTACGTTTGTGATTTATTTTGGGTGATTACGTTGCTTTAGAGAGTGTTTCTTTTGACCGTTTCACAACTCATTTGGCTATTATTATCAAGAATTTTGGCTTCTTTGCGTTTCTTTTAAGCGATCTGTGCTTATTTTAAGTGGTTCGCAATTTACGCTGCCTATAGGTAACTCTTTCCGTTCAAAAGCCACATCATCCGCATTACGCTCTGCTGTCTAGAGTTTCTTTCGGCACGTTATTCTGGAGTCAATTTATATAATCCTTTGATAATAAAAGTGTTGAATTATCGATAATCAGAGCGTAATTTTGTCATTCTGAAAATAGTCTGGAGCCGACAAAAAGAAAATTATAGAAATAGTAAAATCTGGCTAAACCGTTCGCATTTTGCATTACAGTGCTCGCTACAAGTATGTTATCGTTAGCACCTATGTACTCGTATACTCACCAGTTTTTCTAACGATAGTTTTTTTAAACTTATAAAATGAGCCTTTAAATGTTTTTTTTTCATTCATCCTATGCTAACCCATCTCAGCATGTGCTTTATAATGACCCAGTCGTGCTAGGGTTTTGTAGCAATGTAAATAGCTGGCTTGGCCAACCGCAACTTTGATGCAAGGGAACATCAAGACAGAAGACAAATGTAGCGAGTCTCATAATTCGTTATGCATGGCATGGAAAAGAAAAAAAATCCACGTCAAGAATATTTACAATATTCTGTATAAAAAAACACTTAGATATTTGAACTTGCGTGACACCATTAATTTTTGTACCCGCTAGTCGTCAATAGCATAAGTCCAATTGCATTGAAAAGTAATTTTTTGAAAAAAAAATTATAACATATTTTGAATGGAACCACAAAGTGTTGCATGCCAGTGTGTCTAATCCCATTAATTTTTGTACACCTGGCGGACTTGAACGAGGTTGTACCCAAATGTACATTACCACACCTTTTGACCTAGTAAAGACCTTAAGTAGCGCCATGCCGCTCCGCAAACCAGGCGATATCGAACAATTCGAACTAAAACCGATGCCTTCTGAGAATACGGCAGAAAAGGATTCCAAGCAAACGGGTCTTTGGCATCGGTTCCGCCGTTCCAGTGCCCTTATTATCGGCGTGGTTTTTGTGGCTCTTGGACTTGAAGTGTCCCTTTCAACAGCCCTAGGTAGGTCGAAAGTACACGAAGGGAACTCCAACTGCCCATAGAACTGTTTTTAAGATTAAAAAATACATAAATGTGTACGATTTAATGTTTAGAATTTGTAATATAAAAAAGCACGTAGTTAAAGGGATAATAACTCTTCGTATGAGATCTATATTTCACAATAAAAACATTGTGAATAACTCATAGAAATATAATATATTCTGTTTTACCACAAAAACGGCAGTTATAGCTATTATTCTTATATCTTAGTTTGTCTTTAGACCACGTGACCTCCATTGATGGCTATACTCTGTTAAAATCTCTTACTCCAGGAAAATTCATTTTTTGGCCGAAACGAAGAGTTATTATCACTTTAAGGATAAATGGATAAAAGTGTTTTGATTTTGGCACATTGAGGCTAAAATGAGTGCCTCCTTACAATTTTGTGGGAGTTGGAGATTAATGATAATTCAGTTTATCATTGTCACTCTGAATTTTCATATGTGACGGTTTATAAAGGTTTACTTTTTTTAGGCATTAAAGTCCAGAAATATAATTCTCACTGCTCTGAATACTTGCCCGTAGTCGGGAGGGGGGGTCGAAAGAACTGCCCTTTTTACTGGGAAAAGGTCCACTTTGGATAAATTTGATCTAGGTAAACTAAGGTTCCATGAAAAAAGTCCACATTTTCAGAAAAAGACCCCCATTTTGCAATTGCTGGCTACGGGCCTGAATTAGATAGGCCTACATGTATTTCACTGGTCACTGGTTAACTCGGGGAACCCACGCAAGGCAAGCATATTCAACAAGAGAAGAAATAAGCTTTGATATACCTGTACTTGGTGTGAAGAGGACACGTTCAACTTGGCGTAGTTAATACAACCGTGAGCATGTTTTTTTTTTCGTATAGATGTATTCAACATGCAGTATTTAGGCCAAGATTTTTTTGTTATATAACAAAAAAAAAATGTTTGAATCTCCACTGCCACAATTAACTCAAATATCAACTGATTAAACTTTTTCTTTTTGGCTCAGATTGGATAAATTGCCTGTCATTGTTTTTGTTTTGTGACATTGAGTCTCATNAAAAAAGTCCACATTTTCAGAAAAAGACCCCCATTTTGCAATTGCTGGCTACGGGCCTGAATTAGATAGGCCTACATGTATTTCACTGGTCACTGGTTAACTCGGGGAACCCACGCAAGGCAAGCATATTCAACAAGAGAAGAAATAAGCTTTGATATACCTGTACTTGGTGTGAAGAGGACACGTTCAACTTGGCGTAGTTAATACAACCGTGAGCATGTTTTTTTTTTCGTATAGATGTATTCAACATGCAGTATTTAGGCCAAGATTTTTTTGTTATATAAAAAAAAATGTTTGAATCTCCACTGCCACAATTAACTCAAATATCAACTGATTAAACTTTTTCTTTTTGGCTCAGATTGGATAAATTGCCTGTCATTGTTTTTGTTTTGTGACATTGAGTCTCATGCTTGGGGAAATCTCCCCTTTGCTCTCACCAAGGTGAGCCAGTGCCAACCCCATATCAGGTCAGGCATTTCATTACCTCTCGTCACGCCAGTTTTTGGGTAGGAGACACAATTTACTACTGCAATAATGCCTTTGGGATCTACTTACCGTTTAACGGGGTCACATGGATTTTTTCTAGTTATTCAAATTTCAATTACTTCGACTATTTTAAGAACATTCATGTACTGCGAGAGCATGGACTTGTTGGGGGGGGGGGGGGGGGCGCTGCAGGAACTCTGTACTCGCAGTTGCACTACATGTCATTTAACCGTCCTATTAGCAATAAAAGTTGATTTTCTCTCATTCTAAAAAACGATTGCGAATGTAGAGATTGATTTAAACCATTTGATTGTCGGTGCGAATTTCTTTTCCTGTTCAATTATGTGGTATAAAATTGTAGCAAGTATATCCTCGTTCTGAAATAGCCCTTGGGCAGCTTTCACAAAAGAGGCCATTACTCAGGCTAAAATCCTTGTACATGTAGAACTAAGTGTCACTACTCAGGATAAAAACCTTTGTAGTACCGGTAGCTAGGTTAGTGCAGGGTCACCACTTAAGAAAAAAAAAACCTGGGCACTAGGTTAACAGTCAGTTATTGCTTTGGGTATACAACTAGCACAACTGTATTCTTTTCAAAGCCCAAGTCCATATCAGTTTTGGGCACAACTGCCACATTTGAACAATTTTCACCCAACACTTCCACATATATATTCCCAATATTAAGTACTCCCCATTATTGAAATAAGGGCCCATTCAGAACAAATTGATCCACGTACCTAAAGATCCACGGATCAAATATGGCCGACCCACTTGAAAGCTTACCGTATAAAAATCCCTAATAAACACTGAAAAGATTCCCTGCGCGGATTACACGGTAGGCTTTCAAGTGGGTCGGCCATATTTGATCTGCAGATCTGTTATTCAGAGCGCATTCAGAGCAGCTAACCTGCGGCTTAACTGGTCCTCCGACTATATATGGCCGACCCCACAAAAAGGCAAGTCGCTTACTCCCCTGATGGTCTCCCCGTCTCCACACGCACTATTGAACGGATTAAATCACGGCTCCGAGGTTTAATTGCTCTTGGACCCTGCAGCGAAGGCTCCTGTGGAGGTGGGGAGACCTTCAGGATATTAGTCGGCGCTGCTTTTAAGTGGGTCGGCCATATTTAGTCCGCGGATCAACTTGTTCTGAATGCGCTGTAAGATAAACTCTGGTAGTTAATGCGGCCTAATTATCCCAACACCTCACATGTGCTTATTCGACCTCCTCTAGATGCCATTCTCCCTTGTATGTTACTGGAAAGCGACACAGGCGAGGATTGCCGCACCATCCAAGCCGGGCAGACCAACTTCTCACTGCCTACCATAGATTATACTGGCGAGGGCGGCTTTGTGATCGGAACTAAGAGCATCGTGGAAGTGTTCGCCAAACCGCTGTTTGGTATTCTTATTGACAGGTAAGTTTTTGCTGCCAATTTTAGAAGTTCCAAGATATTTAGAGGACCGTTTGTAGATTTTTTATGCTTTTGTCCAGATTATTATTTCTTCTTTTTTATGTATATAGCCTTATTGATATGTTTATGAATCATCCTAGTATTTGTGAGAAATGAAATTACCACTCATGCTCAAAGATTTATTTAAAACGTTAATTATTAGTAATTGTAAGCACTAGAGTAACTGTAGTTAGGAAACCTCTATTCTAGAGTTGGACACAGATGGCCGCTTCTTTTGGGATCAATTATAAATATAGCAGCGACATTGGGTATGTATGTTCTCTATTGTAAAACACATTTTTCTCTGACTGCTCTGACTATTTCAAATGGATATATTTTTACCTTCTTATATTAACAGAAAGAAATGTGTTAAGAGAATGCGCAGAGGGTATTTATAAATAGTTATTCTAACTAACGACAGCTTCGTAACTAACGACAGCTTCGTGAAACGGGCCCCTGCTTTGTCATAGTCTGGTAATTCGTGCGTGATTCTAAGTGTACAGTTCGTAGGAACATGGACAATACTGAGTTTAAACCATTCATACACATGCCATTGGTTGCATTTTAGATTCATGTTTTCTTAGTCTAGCAATAACAAAAATGCTAAATTAATTTACTCGACACGTGTGATCGTATAAATCATATGCTCCATTTTTTATTTTCTTTCTTAAAAGCTTTTGCCTTTCTGAACGGCTTCCCTATGCTGATGTTGTCGCGAGCTATGCAGGGAGTGGGCTGCAGTCTAACCACAGTAGCAGGTAAGTTTTTGTTTTAAAGTTTTGTATCTGTCAAAGATTACTAGACTATATGTATTCATAGGTGGAGCACGCAGAGAGTGGAATTGAGGGAAAAAGACGTGCCATCTACGTTTTCAACACTGGATTAATTATACTGATGGCACTTACTGCTGAATTGAACTTATGTATACAGGCCGTTGCATGAGAGAGAGAGAGAGAGAGAGAGAGAGAGAGAGAGAAAGAGAGAAGAAAGAGAGAGATATTATAGAGAGTAGATCGGTGTCGAAATAAAAACGAGTTATGTCATCGCCATATTGTATTAGGTTTGACGACGTTCATAATCTTCACCGTGAACAACCAACACATTATGTCTGGCGCACCTAACGCACTGTTATTTCTCAACAGCCATTGCGATGCTTGCAGAAGCATACACTGACGTTGATGAAAGATCAAGGGCCATGGCTAAGGCTTTTGGAGGGTATGCATTCGGTGTTATATGTAAGTAACACCTTTCATGTCAACTATCTTTCTCTCTCTTTATCTCTCTCTTGATCTCTCTCCCTGTCTGTCTCTCTACATGTCAGCCGTCTGTTAAACTATGACTATGATAATTTCTTTTTTTCGTCTGCCCATTTTTTCTTCAAGTGTTTTTCTATAATTTCAAATGATTTTAATCGAACTCTGTCAAATTCCTTTTATGCAAATTCCCGACGTACTTTTTCTCCTTAATCAATCCAAGTTTACAAGGTAATAATTGCATCTTTTTGTGCGTCAAAAGTACATATTATTAAAAAAGATCTTATCTACTGAAAATGCATTATCAACCATGTACATGCAACCTAGATGACACAAGATGACGTCATATTTCAGTTGGATTTCCACTGGGTACATTAACTTATCAGTTTCTGGGCAAAGAGTTTCCCTTCCTGATACTCGCTGGCATTAACGTGTTAGACGCAGGTGAGAAGACGTGTTCACCACAGAAACAAATTCAACTGGAAATGTGACTGCATGACGTCACTAGATTGTTTTGCATGAAAAGTACCGTTGTAAAGCTCTGAGGCCAGCATGGGCTGTCTGTATAATATAGTCGTTTGGTGACGTCATTTATATTATTTCCAGTCTAATTTGTTACTGTTTTTTTCAAGGCTTCCTTGCTGTTAGATGTTTAATTCCGTTACTTCTTGCTCGAATCGTGTCTCTGAAAAATCTGGTGTAATCCATGCAGGCATCGAGGAATTTGGTTTCGTTTAAACCAGGAGCCTTCATTGAGCAGCTGCAGCAGATAACAGTTTTGCGTGCATTAGGACGCAAACAGACTTAAGATGGTCTTTGTAATATAACTTTTTATTTGAGAATATAAATCAAAACATACAATTTAATCCATTTCATATCATTTATACTTATCATAGCAGTACGGTTGTGCTTTTAGATGTCGATGAACGTTTGGGTTTAGTTTTTTTGTTTTTTTAATTTGTCAACGGATCTTGAATATAAGACACATTAACTGCCATAATAAAATGAATATATTCCCATATGCGCGTTTGCATGCACACGGGGTAGAAACAGCTTTCACATTTGTCAGTTCTCTTCCAGTTTTTAGACTCATCATCGTGGTTCCGGAAAAACTGGTAGGTATACAGTGGCGGTACACTAAATGCAGCATGATGCACATTTTAATAAATACGTTTACACAAGACTGTACATGACCAAGTCAACAGTAAATGTAACGAGCACTGTTCAAAATACAGATCAAAAACTATTAAATGCCCAAACATTTAAAACACGGGCTCAGCTATGTTTTTATTACGACGTAAGGCATGAATAAGAGACCGTGCAGGGCAATGAAACATTCCTTATAAAATGAATGAAATGATGGATCTAAAAGAGTTACAGATTGTAATATTAATTGTAATCTTAAAGGGTCAAACTTAAAGGATGGAATATTCAAAACAATAAAGCTGTATCAGTTATTTTGTCAGATTAAAATGAAAGCCTTTAAAAATGTCTAAATGATTCATTTGCAGTTCTTATATCAGGTTTATAGCATGATGTAGAATTCATATTTTTCTTCTAATTGTTGAATACAACTGGTGGATATAAATTGTTTTGGGCTTCAATCCCATGATTTTTTTTATCTGTACGCAGGTTGAACCTTCATCTTATGGGGCGTGGAGTGACTTTAAAGAGTTACTGGTTGACCCGTACATTGAGCTGGGACTCGGTAAGGGCATCATATTGGGTTTCAGGAATTAAGAAAACCATTAAAGAGTAAAATAGATATAGATAAAATAAATGTCAAGAGATTATATTTTTTTCGAAAGTATTTGGTTGTGCAAATCATACACGATTGTGTGTTTTAACAAAGGCTGTACGTATTTATACAGTGTTACAATGATTCGCTAATGACTCGTTCATGACTTTTGTACACTTACATGTAGGAAGGCGTTTTTTAATACATTACTTCCATCAGTAACCCAGCAATACAAAAGCAAAGAGTTACCTTGCAAGTAAAAATAAAATAATAAAAAATAAAAACATGATTGCAATATATACGTATACACTATATGGGAATACGCAATGACAACGTTGCTAACAACAAGCGTTGCCACGTGACTCCCACGAGGATATTTTTTCAAATGTTCATATCTGGTGCACGTGCAGGTTACACCCTGATGTACACCCTCAGCTTAGGAGCCAGCCTCGCCATTGCACCGCCCTGGATAATGGAGGAACAGTTCGGGATGGTTTGGGAAATAGGTGAGTCTTTTTTCTTTTTTGTAATTTTTATTTACTTAAAAAAATATTTTTGCATCTGCGTACAGCGGAATTTGGTCCTAACGATGCACCACATTTCACGACGTTTGCAGGAACACGCGGTATCATACAAAACCTCTTCATCAAACAAAATGACATAAGAAATCATGAAATTTTCTCCACAAATACCTTGTTCAAAGATTAACTACCTGCGACGATATTTTGATGACAATATCTTCCTGTTTAATATATATATATATATATATATATATATATTACCATTGTTTTACATTGTAGGTGCCGTATTCCTAATAGCAGGGACACTTCAGTTTATAATCCAGTTCATACTAGGACATATAACAAGAAAACAATGTTGGTAGGCTGTGTTTTTGTATAGGACCCATTAACTCCGTATTGATGCTGAAGCAACCAATAACGTTATAGCTAGTGTGGTGATTTAATTTTCGCGAAGTGATAAGGTGGCGATTCCTTGATACCTGTTTTTTATATTTCTAGCAGAGGTGATGGTATCGTGGCTTGTAAACGTTACTAAATATATATTTATTAGAAAACAAGGTCATATAAACGTTGAATGGGAGATGCTCCCTGGAAGCCATAAACGAATGTGTGTGTTTTTTTACATTGCAGGTGGATATTTGCAGCAGTTGGCCTCCTCCTTAATGGGTTAGCTTACATATGGGTACGTGTATGTTTTTAGCGTTGGATCATGACACGCACACGCACGTGCAAGCACACTTATGCACTCACACTCGTGCACACGCGTAGCATATTTGATTGACAGATGGGTGATTGAACACAAAGCCGTATGTCTGAAGGTGTGTGTGTGCGCGAGTGTGTGTGCATTTGTTAGTGTGTTTGTGCGCCCGTGCGCGGGTGTATTTTTAATGCAATTTAAGATACCGGTATGAATACGAGGTTCATGAGTTGTTTTTTCCTTTTTTCCTTAGTACCCATTCACCTCCTCTGTATGGGTGAACATTGGCCCCCAGAGCTTGATATACATAGGGTTCGGGTTTGCCAACACTGTGATAGCTCCTATTATGGGCGACTTGGTGGAGATACGACACAGAGCCGAGTACGGGCAGGTGTACGGTCTAACCAGTGGTGCTTATTCCTTGGGTTTTATAACAGGTGAATAAGTAGAATTTGTAACTGGCATCATTGATTACACACGGTCTCCAGGTCGGCATAAAACCCACCAAATACACACACACACACACACACATACACACACACACACACACACAGTGCAAAGGGCCTATGTGTTAGTTTGTTCCGTTACAAAACCATCAAACTGGATTTGTATTATGTATTCCTTCATTCTTGTTTTATTAAGAAATGATAATCGGATTCATGTTTTTATTGATTGCTTCTTTCAGGCACTGTTGGCGCTGGCGTACTTGTGGACGTCACATCATTTAACTGGTAATGACAATTATCTGTATACGCCTGTATGTATTTCAACATGGTGTTTTACAAATGCACGATAAATGCCCCCTGTCTGCAGTTACTTTACCACATAAACAGCAACAACATCATGGTCTTTTACTCTCTATACGTAGCTGTTTTGCTGCGGATTCCCCATTGTATGCGAGGCCAGGGATTAGTGAGTGTTCGGGTAGAGGTTCTCAAGTACTATCTGTGACGTCATGCACGACGACAGATGACGTCACTTAATTGCAGTTAGGCACAGATAACGCGGTTTGAAATCCAGTAGATCCTTAATAATTTCAATTTTGATCCAGCATGTTTAATAATAAAGAATAAGGGCCTAAGTTAATATTTTAAAAGTCCAATACATTTTTGTGAATCTGTTGCATTATAATGTAAGCTTGATTCATTTTCTCCATGTTTCACAGGGTGTGTCGCGGCATCGCGGTGTTAATGATCCTGTACACTTGTATCTGCATCCTATTTCGTAACCCTAAAGGCACCAATCTAGACACAGAGGTGAACACTTGATTTCAATCTTTACTGTTGAGAGTGTCACGCTTTTCATAGAGCGACATGTGACGTCATTATTTCTTCAGTATAATTTGTTGTCACATATTGAATATTTACTATTTTTTTCGATATACTCTATTGTTGTATAGTGTTGAGTACCGGCGAGCTGTTTGTTAATGTGGCTTTTCTTCGAAAAGGTGAAGCATCACGGGAAAACGATTTTAAATACACGCGTCTTTATCGTGTTACCCACGTGACCCATTTTATACAAATATTTTTTTTATCTTTTGTAAAAATGATTACATGTATTATGATATAATTATGGGCTCTGGCATTATAGCAATAACTTGTGATTGGTTTCTATTGCAGGACCCGGAAACCTTGAAGTTGGTGGGCAGTGAATTTACGGACAAATATGGCGCCCAAAAGTCACATGATATACCGATGTCTAACGAGTGAAGAACGGAAATAGGATTTTATTTTATTCATAAGGACGGAAGTCATACACAAACGTCTTCCAATTATATAACTTTATGAATTTGATGTGTTCTAATCATTTAAATCTAAACACATTTTTGATACTAGCATTGTTTCCACGTCCAAATATAAAGGAGGTTTCAAAATTCATAAGACTTTCCCAGCAGGCAAAGTGACGTTGGATCAACGTTGAAAACAGGTTGATACGTTGAACGTTGAATTGCCGTTGATCTACCTAAATTCAACGTAAAATGTAAAATCAACGTTGATCCAGCCACGTCAAAACACCGTCATAATGTGACGTTCACTCAACGTTGTATTTTGGTCATTGACTCAACGTTGTTGTTTGGTCGTCGTGATGAAAGACATGGATTGTAATTTAAAATATTAATTATTGAAAACGTGATACTTTGTTTATTAATACTGTAACTAACTTTATCAAAATAATAAAAAAGTGTTTTAAAGTAAAAGTGACAGTTGTTTTGTGTCTTTAGTGAACTAGTGAATTCTCTTAACTTGTTATTCAGAAATACATTCCAATAAACTTCCTTGCAAGGTCAGCTAACACTCACCCTGAGCTTCAGAGCTAACATGNCTAACACTAGGATGGATAAGTCGCTGTAAGTATGATGGACTGATATTAACAAAGTGACTGATCTCGGTGCCCTGTTATGGATAGACAGGTTGAGGTGACTATGACTATATATATATATACATAGTTATTTTCTTTTATATATATATATATATATATATATATATATATATATATATATATATATATATATATATATATATAGGGGCCTATATCTTAACCTTGGAAATCCTAACTTAAAGGGCATACACATATACACTACGTATATTTAGCCATCAAATATGCACTACCGCTAAACACATCCGGGCTAAAAGCGTGTAACATACTTAGGTGCAAAACATGCTTAGGAGCTAAATGCGTTGAAAAAATCAGACAAAGCAGGCACTTGGAAGTTTTTACAGTCTATGTTATAATTGTGTACCTGTGTTTTGTACCAAAAATAAAAACATTTCAGGTCATTTTAATGTCTTTTCATGCAAGAATGTTGTCTAACAATTGGGGTTGATACAATGTTGTTATCTGACGTAGATCCAACTTTCAAATCCAATGTTTATCCAACGTGTTATCAACGTTATGGTTCATCGTTGTTTCAACGTTAAAACAACATAATTTGCCCGCTGGGTTGTTAAAAGGAGATCGAAAGTAGTTTAATATGAAGCTGAAGTGTTGATATATTAATAGCATACAATCTGCATTTAGATAATTACTTGTACAATTGCTCTATTCAGTGTGTCTCTAAGCGATGAATAATGTATTGTATTAACTTATTGTATTATTGCATACAAATTGAATCATCTACATATATAAATTGAATTATCCACATGGATATAAACGCTCAAATCTGTGCATAATAACACGGCTGTATACATTAGGCTAGCCATTTGTTTTCCTCCAGCCAACCCGAGCGGCCATTTGGAGACGTCTTGTCAACTGTAAAAATATCACTCACGGTGCTTTAGAGTGCATTCCCATAGATTTAGATCGATCCATCTAGATCGACCTAACTGCCTGGGGGTTCACACTAAATTGCTGTCAGCCGACCGCGCACGGTAGTTAATTACCCTCTTACAGCTTTAAGTAGGCGGGACAGACATTTAAGCCGGCTAAGCTGACAGTAATCTAGTGAGACTCCCCACAGGGATAGATCGATCTAAAACCTGTGGGAATGGGGTCTTAGACTTGTGATTACTGTTCTGCGCTGTCGGTTTTCTAATAGTGTTCTATGTGGTTGCCTATTGCCATTACTGGTCAAATGAGATAAAGTACGAATGAAGAAAAACAGAAAATGTCTAACGAACTGCTAGACCCAGTAAGTGACGAAAGTGCTGCACAGGAAGACCCCCAGCAACCGGGACTGTGGTACCGTTTTCGGCGTTCCAACACCCTGATAATCAGTGTAGTGTTTGTTGCGCTTGGACTTGAAGTAGCTCTTTCGACAACGCTAGGTAGGTGATTCTTCGTTTACATGTATTATACAAGTTGGCATTAGTCCGAACAAACGAGGTAGAGACATGAATTAAACAGTCTTATCACCATTACGTTTCACGGGTGACAACAATTAAACCTGATTTGACTGAATTAATAACTGTTGAATAAATAATAATAATATATTATTATTTTTATTGGTGTATTTAAATTTGCTGTACACATAAATCAAGACAGGATGATAAGTCGGAATTTCGCAACATTTTGAAGCGCAAAAGTTGCCCCTTGCCTGGTTAATTGAAATAAAAAACATTCTTCTACATTTATGAATATATGTTACGATTTCGCATTGCCTTGGCATTTCAACACGAGCTCCCTTTGCCATACTTTTACCAGTTAGTTCATTTTTACTAAACTGGATTTACAGCAATCGTTTGTCATTTTATGAAAGTAGTACAATGTCGCGCAAACTGCAGCAGTCCTTTTGTCTTTTTTTTCATGTCACATATAGACAAAAAAATAAATAAATAAATAAATAAAAAAATAATAATAATAAATGTATGGAGTTCCTCCAATTTCAGGGCAATATGCGTGAAATGCCTTGCAATTAAGACTAAATTTAGATGCGTTTGGAGGAAATAAGGGCGTAGATAAAGTCAATTAATACTTAGTAATATCCTGTAATAATGTTCTGCACTGTAAGTTTCATATCTCACATTAGACTTATAAGGGCCCATCGATCACTGTAACGTGCTCACTCTCTTCCTTTCCCGACTTGAACTCTGTCCCCATTAATAAAATGAGCTAAACAGCATAGAGCAAACTAGTGCAGAACTTCAAATTATCCCCTGAGAAAGCCCCGGGTTGAGTTTTTGCGAGATATTCACTGACATGACTTTGGCTGATTAATGACGTAATTTGTACTGTGAACAGCAGAGAAAATGGTCATCTATTAGCTAGAAGCATCTGTGAATATCTGCTGACAAATCTCTCTGTGGCCTTGATGGAGGGTAGATAAAAACCTTCGGTAGCGTAGGACCACTTTCGAATCTGGTATAGTGAACCGATGCAGCTATACGTATCGCTCCTCGCGAATTTAGGACTTAAGCCAAAATGTGCCCGCGTTACTCGTATGTTATGAATTTGTAGAAATGCCACTCTGTGAAACACTCGATAGTAGCCGGCTACAGGGTAGTCGGTTTGGTTAAATCTCTTACATGCACCTAAGCCTAATCAACTTAATGAAAAGGGGCTCCCATTTACAACCAGTAGATTAGTGTCCTAAAAATTTAAGGATCAGATACGGCCGACCCACTTGAAAGTTTGTCGCATAGTCCCCTAATAGACACTGAATAGATTCCCCGAGTGGATTACACGACAAGCTTTCAACGGGTCGGTCTTATTTGATCCTCGGATCTGTTAGTTCTCGTATCAACTTTGGTTGTGAATGCGGCCTATCTGAAGCCCTGTCTCTATATATCGCCATCTAGAGCCCATCTTACCCTGCCTGCTGCTGGAAGGGGACACTGGCCAAGACTGCCGTGCTGTCGACAGTGGTCAGGCCAACGTCACCCTGCCCACCATCAACTATGCCGGAGACGGAGGGATTATCATTGGGATTAAAAACGTGGTGGAAGTGTTCGCTAAACCGCTCTGCGGAATCGTCATTGACAGGTGAGCTTTTTTTTTTATTTCTTTTCGTTTCATTTATTTCTTATTATCCCTTAGTTTCATATCCTATATACTGGGGCTTTTTGCGAAATCAAAAAAAAAAAAAAAAAAAAAAAACTTCTTATGCACTATGCTGTTGTTTGCAGATTTTGTTAAATTGTACAAATAGTATTATATATCGAGGGGAAATACATTGAATTCTATCTTAAAGGTGCATACGAACCGAGCATTGGTGGAGCGTGGATTCCCAGTAACACATGTAAACCACTTCTACTAGATTCTTATATGACTCAAATAAATTCGACATGCCAAGGAATAAACTGAATAGATCGCTCGATCAGCCATAAAAGACCTTTAGACTGCTCCTTTCTTTAAATTTTTGGTTGTAAATTTAA